CCTCATGAAGCTCCTCAGACAGATGATAGCTCCACAAACATCTACCTGATATGGACTGTCCGCCTCCAGAGAAGGAGGTATGCTCAGCCCTTGCTATCGCTGCCAAAACTACTTAAGGGAAGAGCCATTCCTTGCATGGGCTTCCAAAACAAGCACGCCAGCATTAGGGAAGATGCCGTGCAATTCCTGCTAATTTTTCCAGAGCATCTCCTATGGTTTCAAAGATGCAGGTACAGTACATCTCAGGACATACATACTCCTACAGCAACAAGAGAGGAGAATCATCTGGAAACATGCATATAAGTCCACATAGACCAAAATACTAGGGCTGATATTGTTTGAAAATAATTTAGGAAGCCCCGAAAAAGAGAAAGATTTTCAAAAGGAGATATTGCTTAAAGGGTCTTTTGAGTAGAAATTGTTCTAACCTCCTATAGTTTTCTATGAGACACCCTTGGCTCTCTCAGAGACTATCATTTATAACCTTGACTTAAAGTCCTGAAGACAATGGTTTGTTTCTATCCCTCCATCTGGAAGGATAAAGGAAAGAGGGGAATGGGAACAGGAACATGGCAGTTTTTTCCCCCCCTCCCTCTTTCTCCTTGGGTAATAGCAGCCCCCTTTAATAGTGCCCCTTGGATCTGTAAGACATGCTTGACCAGACATACCTCTGGAAGAGGTCAGCACTCCTGGGATTAAGAAACTTAGCAACGCTCCAGAGAGGGAGTTGGAAAGTCATGTTTAATGATACTTTGCTGAGAAACTGGGCAAATTTAATTAAAACATCACTTACTCAAGCCCAGTGGAACTAATTGAGTGCTCTAATATTCTGACTTTTCATTAATGGGTTACAAAAGAGGGCTGCACTTGTGTACACGGTGGAGGGAGAAGGGGGGGGAAGATAGAGAAGAGAGCCTTAGCAAGGCTGCCTGTGCTTCATTTAATATAACTAAGAAATTTCATTGCTGGCAACTGAGCTGTAATACAGTTGACTTCTCTCACCACCGTCACCCCCAATCCCCTTGACACATGCACACAACTCCCTGACACACATACACCACACACTCTCCACCCAAACCCCCTCTAAAAGAATAGCTGAATGAGCAAGAATAGATTTGGCAAAGGAAGGGAAATTGCTTTTTTAATAACTAGCCTATTCAGAGCTCTTACTTTTCAATCAAAAGAAGGCTGAAGTCCTGGTCTAATTACCTCATCCTCACACTGGACAGACTCACCCTTTCATTAGCAACTGAGGTCATATCATAACTTTGTGAGCCATCACAGGCACAACATATTTGGTGATTATTTCATTGGTGGAAGCAAAATTACAGTCAACTCATCAAGGCTGTAAAAAAACAGAAGTAGTAAAATAATTAAGTGAGGATGTCTAAAGCAAGAGACACTAAAAGTAGGCAGGTTGGGTAGTGTCACTCTCCCAGAAATACACATATTGTTTGCCAGTGTAACACCATGGAGAAATTGCCATTTTGACCAGAATGCAATAGTTGGTTTCCAAATCAGACAAACACACATCGTTTTTTTTTGCCAGGTCTCGGGGGCCTCCTAATATATTTTGCTATGGTTAGATGGGAAGGATTATATGTTGCTAAGGAATCAGAGCAAGACCACCAAGCTCATATTAAATATTTAATATATACCCCGCAAATGTACACACATCCCCACATACACACATTACATGTGTATCTACTACATATCAATGTAGTAGATATTACAATAAGCTTCCCATAGGCAAAGTGCTGGAGAAGAAACTCTCCTTGTTCATTCTCAGCCCAGTCTAAAGCAGCAGCACAGCAAAGATCTGAAGGCCTGTAGGGCTTAGCTAATGATTTAGATTTGTGGTTTGGTTAGAGGAAAAATGCAGTGGGCAATGAACAGTTCAGAAGAGCAGGCTTCAGTGTCTTGCTGCATCACCTTGGGAAAGTCTCTGTATCTCCGCTCCTGCTCAAAACAGCGGTAATCATCCTTTTACAACTCAATTGTTGTAAATGTTTTAACCTTACATTTACAAAACTCAGATGTTTTACAACATACTAGAGGGTGCGAGAGTATCACAGCTCTTAACAATGACTCCATGTCAAAATTACTCACCCAAATGAGACCAATCAAGGTTACTTATGCTCCTTTCATATCCACTTTGAGTCGCACTAAACCCAGGTCAAACCAATTATAAACAAACTGAGTTAGTCTGGAATAGTTTTAGTCCATCATGGCCACTAGCTTAGCATCTCCTGATACCAGATAAATAAGACAATAGTTCAATGATGGGCAGTATTTTTGAAGAAAAAAGGAGGAGATGTGTCAAGAGTTTCATATTTAATCTACTGCTTTCATCAAGGAAAATACCAGTAGACTCAACTGGGGAATCAAAATATTGCCTGTCTGACAATGCTCATCCTCCATCAAGGCTGCACTCAAAGCGTGCGCAGAGCTGGTGGCAGAAAGTGAAGAGTTTAAAGCTGACCTTAAGCTACATCCAAGTGTAAGCAGTAGCAGAGACAATCCAACAATCACACTTACAAAATGTAATGCTCAGGCTTTAAATCAGTCTCAGTATTTTGATACCTGAAACAAGCACTGCACACTTTGATCATGCCACAAAGCCAGTCTGACTAGAGTAGCGAAGACTCTAATCATCATCCCTGATCCAGACATCTTCGATCATCTCTACTTCACCCTACTTGGCAAAAGTTTAAGTCTGCACATTCTGACTACATAGACTTCTGTTCTCTTGGTTGCTAGAGAACCATCCTCTTAAAAGCTTCCTCCTTTTGATGCAATTTTCACTCATTTTTACACTGCTGTGAATCTAGCAGGTTTCTTGCCTTGCCTTTAGGACATGAAGTGCAATTACTTTAGCAGCAGAAGCAGAGAAATTATTCCAACCACTGCTGCAAAGGGGCAAGGAAAAGCTGTCAGGCAGCAACACAAACTCAGACGCAGCGCGGGCGGACAAAAATAGGAACACCGGATCACTGACCTCCAGCAACGGCCTTTGACTTGGATTGCCATGAGGGCCTCAGTGTCTGGACGACCGTCACAACTGTTACTCAGCTGTTTAGCTGCAGATATCACACTCATGCTTAGAAACCACTGCCAGTGGCCAGGGATTGACCATGCCAATTAAAGGGGAAGCAGAAGATGCAAGACAGTCTGACATCCCCCTTCTTCCCCCAACAACTCTCAGCTGGATCAGGATGGGCAGAAGGGGAGATGCCTTGGGGGTTCATTTAGCTCAAAGACACCTAGATAGATCAGGGCTGAAAAAATGAGCACATCTAACCAGAAATCCAGGGCAAGTGTCAGTGGTACAACCATCCTGCCTAAAATTACAGTGCATAGAGCTGGGAATTAGGCTAAATTCCTTGGGTATGCTTTTTAGGCACAAGGATGGAAAGGACATATTCGTAAGAGTGGAAAGAACATGCCAATGGAGCCTGAAGCAACAGCCTTGAGGCTTTTGACAAGGCTGGATTATTTGTCTTTGGAAAGGAAGGAGAGCTGAGGACATGTCACTGCTCTCTCCAGCATGCAACCAGCCTGCACAGGCAACCTTCACCATTTTCAGTTCCATTTGTGACACAAGCAACTCTAGATAGCTAAAGTAGATCCTCAGTGAAAACAAACCACAAGGATAAAAAAAATAACCATCATCCCATATAGTCCAGTTCACACAAGCATTGCCAAAGAGCTGCAATAGTTCACAGACATCAAGCCATTTAATCCAGAGGCAGGAAAGCTGTCAGGAAAGTCAGACACCGGCTAAATCCAGGATATTTCCAATCCTGACCTCAGCTCTGTCTAGGAGCACTTAGTGGTAGGGAGAAGGGAAGACTTCACTGACCAACACTCACTGGTGGCATTCTCCACTGCCCCAGCTCTGCTGCAAGGAATGACATTTTACGCATACACACATGAACAACTGAGCTGGGGTCGTGATTCCTAGAATGCACAACTGGCCGGGCAGCATTCGCCTGGGAAACTGGAGACCTAGGTCCCAATCCCAGCCCCAACACTCTATCCAATCACAGGGACAATAACAAGGCTTAAGGGCTATTTATAGCCTTACAGTATGTCCCCCTTCAACAGTGGTGCAATGAAACTGATCCTAGACACCTGTGCTAGCCAATCTGAGGGATTTTTGTGTTTAAGCGATTCTAGACTAGGTACAGTCAAGTAAATTTGGGGAGAAGATGGAAAGCCCCTTCCCCTTCCCTCAACCTCTCCTCCTCTTGTTGGAATTGCTCAGCAATTGCAAAGGCTTTACCCTTTAGATCTTCTACAGGAAGGCCCCCACGCAGGAGAGCAAGCTTCTCAGGGAGGAAGGTGGGGTAAAGAGCAGAAAGCACTCAAACTAAGTGCATAGGGAAGCGGAAAGAAAAGCAAGTGAAAAATGAGGAACTGCCATATCCCACTGTCAGCTGCAACCCTGGCTCTAGGGAGGTGGAGGGTAGAGTCTCAGCATGAGAGAAACAGGCTGAGGAGACTTCAGGGAGTGAAAAAAGGCTCTGTCCAAGTTCTGTGCCAGATGTTTATCCAGTCACCTTCAAAGAAATCCAGCTATGGAAGCTCTATGTTCCCTACTTCTGCTGAACTGTTCCTGGGAACGCATCCTTTAACCTCATCCCTTCTTCCTCCTCCTAACTCACACAGGCCCAGACAATCCATCTTTCCTTTCCTTGGCAAGGCAGTTATCCCGTTCTCCTCCTCTTCATCCTGGAAAGCAAAAAAAACTTCCCTCCTAGGTCATATTTTCTAGACTTGGACACATATTTATGTCTCTGCTTCCAGTCTCTCATAACTTGGAACATTTCTTGAAACATATTGACCAAAACAGGTCAATATTGAGGCTCCACCTATGCATCAGAATATCACTCCATACATTTTACATCCCAGGTTCCCATTTCCTCACCCAAGCATGCGGAAGCCACAATAGCATGAAGTCACTCCAGCCCTGCTCTGCAGACCAGCCTGTGACTCACCTTCATGCCAACGAGGTTATTGTGGAAGTCCACCCTGGCTCGCAGGTCCTTGTTGGGCTTCCTCCCCAGAAACTCCTTGACGAACTTGTTGCTGTATTTCAGGTTGTCACCACAGCCACCCCATTGCCAAGCCTCACGGTTCTCCAGGTCAGGGGCTTCATCACAGGTGCAGCGCTCCATGCGCCCGGCACTGCATGCCTTGGCCATGGCATGGGTCAGCCCCGCTGAGGAAATGGCATACAGAAAGGCTGTCTCCTTAAAACCTGGGGGAGAAAGGAGAAGATAGCTTTATTTGAAGCCAGAACTTAAGAAAAAAATGTAGAATTTGGAGCAAATCTCATAACAAAAAGGCTTGAGCAAATGTCAAAGCATGACAAGCCCTTGCACATGACTGATGTTGGAGAGGATGTCATGGTGGTAGAGAGCATGTCATGAGAGTCCTTCCTTGGCATGGAAGGAAGGAGAGAGATGGCATATGCCCAGAATAAGAAAATACAAGCCAAGCCTTGCCAGACCAGTGGTTGTCATCCCAAAGACCATCTCTCCCTAAAAACAAAAATGTAAGCAAGAGCTGGACAGGCCACCAAGGTACCATCATTGTGATATGTCCATATTCCTACAAAGTGGACACCAGTGATGGTCAGAAGCCAGCACAGGCTTTCAGGCAAAGATTTTGTATAGAAAGCATAAAGACTTCTTTCTTCTTCTCTCAGGAAAATCACCAGGTCCTGCATCTATGCAATAAAATGGAAGGGCACAGCAGCCAGCCTGTCATCTTCACCCAAATGCCTCAAAAATCAGTTTAAGCCACCAGTCTTTTATCCACCGAACCTTTTATACGTAACCCATCACATGCAGCGTCATGATAGCATCTGCCTCCCTCAGTTAGGTAAACCAAAGCTCAGAGATATCCATGATTTCTGTCCAAAATATAAAAGCCCAAAATAAAAAGCAAACATGCCAGCATTTATAACTCCTTGTTTTTTTAGCTATAGAAGCTGTAAACAATTGCATATTTGAGACGGAATTCCAGAACAGCATTGGATCCAGCTCAAGAAATCCCCCACTCCAAAATAACACAAGTGGATGGTGACAGTAGTGGATTTATCTGCAAGCTGGTGTGTCAACCAAGGACATGCAGAGACGCTGCCAGGTCATTTTTGGAACAGTTCTTTGGGAGGTTCATGGCTATTGGGACTGCTGCCTTCACTAAAGGGTGATGCTTCCCTACCTCTTGTACTCCCACGTCACTGCTGATATTCATGTCATGAAATAGAGAGGTGCCAGGGTGCCAGCAGATATCCCCCACAGCAATGGGGTGTGCAAACTCTCCTCTGGCTTGAGACACTGCCATCAGTGACCAGTATCTGGGCCTCAACCCAGTTTACGAGGCATCAGAGACCTACAACTTCTTGCTTGAAGCCTTGGATCTAGAGAGGCTGAAGAATTTCCAAGCCAAGTCAGTGCCCAGCATCCACAGTGCATACCCTGGCTGGGCACAAAGCCAGGAGGAACAGCTCATTTGCCAGACTCTCCCCTCTCAATCCTCTTCCCATTCTCCATCATTTAAAGCCTCACAAATTCCCAGCGCCCATCAGCACAGGTATCATCTTGCCCTCAGGCAGCTCAGGCGGCTTCCAAGCAGGTCCATGTGACATTTTGGCTCTGGCCAGATTTAAAGCCATCTCCGCAGTGCACTATTTGATTGCACCGAGATATTTGGTAACAAGATAATGAGCTTTAAATCAATGCAGGCATTCTAACCTCCAGCGCATCGACAGCCTGCCATCCACAGCTATCCAGTTTCAGCCATTTCCAAAATTGTTCACGAGTATCCAAAGAGGATAACAAGTCCCTTAAACAATCCTCTGTTATTTTAAGAAACGGGCCACATCAGCCCAAGTTATAGAGGAGCAGCCAGGCAGTTTTGGTGACCGAGTACTACAACGGAAGGAAGGGGAAAATGTTTTTGCTTTAAGAGGGGATTCTTTGGCCTCTTTAAATCACTGCAAAAGCCCTGGAGGGGGCAAATCAAGCCCACGCTGATGTATTTGAATAGCTGTGTCTTCCTAGGTTATGCCTGTACGCCTTTGCCCTGGGGTATCACTTGCTGCAATGCTGAACCAGGAACCAGCAGCTCCCGGAGCAAAGGGGAGAGATTTACAGGGCAGTGTGTTATGTTGCAGAAACAACACCTGAAGGATTTACAGCATCAGCAGCGGGGAGAGATGTTGCACGGGCATAAAGCATGGGAGAATGAGACAGGAGAGAGGCTTGCAACCCTCAGAGCTGCCATCTATTACACAGGGTCTTGACTGGGGCTTCTCAATAGTATTTTAAGGCAATTTAGCTCCAGGCTGCTTTTAAAATACCCATGTCACTTGCTGCCTATGGGCAGGCGTGTCTGAAGGAGCAAGCTGTGGCCTCCAGGTGTCAGCATGAGAAAGTGCTTGGGTTTCCCAAGGCACCGTGAATCCAGAGACTCCTCTGGCACGCGGAGATATTTTTAAACATCTTGCAGCTCAGCCTGGACCCTCTTGGGTTTCATAAGGACTTTCCCTGCTTCCACTGGAGGCAGTGACTGTGCACAAGTTAAGCCCCAACACTTGTATGACTCATTCTCACTCATTAGCAAGGGAAGAAACGCCACAAACCTTCACGCTCATCACTGGGCAAGTTCAAGCCTTGGTTTCTAGGTCCATCTCCATCAGCACATGTGGGAATTACCCATACATAGGGCTTCTCCCAAGGCTGAGCAACAGACCACAGGGAAAGAGCTGCAGTTGTCACTATCGTGGGAAGATTCCTCTTGACACCAAGATGGAACAGCATGTCTTATGTCAATGACCACAAAAAAGCTTTTTTTTTAAAAAAACAATTTCTGTCCTATAAGATGATCATGCCTTTTAATGAAGGGAGAAGCCCACCCCTTGCTCTCCAATAACAGCTCGAATTCCAGCAGAAGTGAGGAGCAACCATAGCTATGTGCAGTAGAAATGCAAGCGACCAGCTCCAGCCTCCAAGGCTGGGGCCCACAACAGGAGACAGAAAGCAGGTGACCTACCAGTATGAGCAAAGAAATCACTACATAGCTACATGCAGCTACACAGAGGCTACATGCAGCCTCTGTGGCCATGACAGCAATCTCTTGCCACCATGACAGAAGGGCTGACCCCAGTTTCATCTTCATATCTCCCTCTACAAACCCCCTTTGGACCGCTAAGAAACAGAGACCCAACGCTGACAAAGGACCACCTCTTTATCTGCCAAGCCCTGGAGATACCCACAGGTGTCAGAGGCACCAGCAACCCCAAGAAGGACCACAGGATGCCTGGGGACCTGCAGCAGGCTGCGCTCCCATGCTGCTCACCTCTCTTCAGCAGGCTGGCCCGGTAGCGGCCCTCGAGGGTGCAATTCCAGCGCTCGAAGCGAAACTGGTATTGGCACTCCAGGGCGCTCATGCTGATGGCCTCCATGAGCGTCTCGGCCACGCCGGGGTCCCGCCGGCACATCCTGCGCTGCTTCTTCTCCAGCTTCAGGCGGTCACAGACTTTGTAGTGGGCTTTGACGGCAGCTTCCTCCATTTCCGAGGTCAGAGGGAGGATGGTCAGGGGTTCGTTCCCAGTCAGCCTGCAGGAGGGACAGAGAGGCACAGATGTGAGCGGGGAAAAGTAGGCAGAGAAAGAGGAGCTGTCGTGGGATTTGGTCTCTCCTGGCTAAACTACATGGATTTACTGGTGTCTGGAGGAGGGTGGAGGTTACAGACTGGTTCTCTGAAGCATAGGAGGAAGGGAAGAGGACAAGAAGCAGTATTTGAGCTTGCTCTCTCTGTACCAGCTTCATTCAGACACTAAGACTTTACAATTTCCACTTCTGCTAAATTCAGTTGCTAGCAGACAGGACATTTAATGCATACATATGGAAAGACAAGGAGCCAGTAAAAAGGCCACAGCACTACAGTTGCTCTTGTGCATAGAAAAAAAGCATTTAGCACAGCAAGCAAAGCCAGAATAGGCTTGGGAAGAGAGAGAGAGATCCATTCCCTTAAACAAAACAAATAAAACCCACGGCACACAACCCACCACGTACAACCACTCTGCCTTCAGCAGAAAAACACCAGGTTTGAGCAGGATTCCTTTTGACAAGCGATGCTGCCAAAAGGCTTCCAATGCAGAGCAACAAGCTCAAAAACAAAAAACGCCTCAAAAAAAAAAATACATGTCCTGCTGCCTTTTCCCCTGCCCTGCCTCATCCAAGCACAAGGTCCTTGACTCGTACAATGTGCAATAAAAGAAGCCAGCGTACTGTTCCCGGTGTCAAGTGACAAGCTGCTGGAGCAGGACCAGGCTGGCACAGGCCCTGGCGAGCAGAGGCGCTGCAGGAACATCTGCTGGACTCATGAGCAGCTTGTTGGCCAAGCTGCCCACGTCCCGTTCTCCTGGCTCTGCCCTCTTCCGGCCAGGTGCCAGTCCACGCAGTCAATGGGAATCACTATGTAGAGTTTGAGGGACCTCGAGACATGCTTTCTCCGGCCAAAAAAGAAAAATCACTAGAGGCAGAATTAGGAGCACGCTGGAATGGGGCAGGCGGACGCAAACAGTCTCCACCATCTCAGGAGATGGGCACAAAAGGGGAGCACATGCTCCTACCCTTGGCCAAGTGCAAGATGATCCCCTAAATCCTTAAAAACTCCACCTGCCCTGCAGGAACAGTGAGCTGTTGTTTGTTTTTAACAGGGATTTTCCTCTAACTCAATGGGATGCGTCCTGCCAGGAGCAGAGTCCCCTGGGCAAGCAGCTAGCATGCTTTCACTCCCAAGACTCTTTGCACAGACACCAAATCCTGACCTGAGCCACAGCCAGCAATACCCAGCACAGATGACAATCATTAGCAATGATTTAACAAGGTAATTTAACATCAGGTGTCTAAAGCAGGGGAAAAACAACAAGGTTTTTGTTTTAGAAGAGCAGGGAGATAGGCAAGGAAGCCTTACTCTCAAAAGTATTAGGATTTCAAGAAAAATGCTGCAATAGAAAAAGATGAAGACTCAAAAGAGTGATTTGTGGAAACATGAAGAAACCAGTATAACCAGCGTGAATTGCCCCCTCCCTAAAGAAAAATCTTCAGAAAATTCTGCTTCTGAAACAGATAAAACCACCCATAAAGTCAAATGGCACACTTTGAAGCGCTGATGAACTTTAACTCTTACGCATTTTTACTCCCACTTGGCTTGAAACACGAGTGCCAACCAGTCTCAACTATTCCCAGAGGAGACAGGACACCACCTGGCCTGTGGTGGCCTAGTTAAGTGAAGCATTGAGTAGACTTGTTTATGAGAAAAGTGGCCTGGTCCAAGCTTCACAGTAGCAAAGTCCTGTAACAGAATCTCCAGGACAGCCATTCTTGGCCTTCATCAATACATTTGCCCTGAAGGCTCATTCCTCCAAGCTTCCACAGTTGGTGCAAGAGATATCCCCAGCTGGCAAAGGAGAGGGAGGCGTAAAAGCATTTTCTACAGCTCCCACTCTCCCAATTTACCATTCCGACTGAGCTTGCACTGTTCAGTTGAGTGTTTGAGAAAACAAGCTCCAAGTATCATGTAGCAGACAGCTATTAGAGTGAGGAGGGATACAGAAATTGATCCTATGGCCAAGACTTCTGCAGAGCAATTTGTGATTCTGAAGTCCTTCCCCACCTTCTCACCTTACATACTTGGATATGAGATGTCTCAGGCTTACAAAGCTTGGGATCCAAACTAGATCAAGGAGAGTGACTTCTTAAAAAGTAAAAGAAAAATAAAGAGCTTGGGGTAGGTAGAACCTAGGAAGTGGGATGCACAGTGCTCCAGACAGAAACAGAACACAGGTTTCCAAGAGCTGCTTAGCATTAGCAGCTGGAAAATCCTGAGAAACAGTAGAAAATTGAAGTATCAAATGAACTACTTGCCAGTATCTATTTTAACTGCTCTGTGCAAAAGTTTGGCACATGTGATGGGGACGTGGTGAACCATGGTTCAAGGTGAAATGTGGCTCAAGGGCCACCCCTGAGAAACAGCACAAAGACGACATCAACACAGTATTGGAGGGGAAGTTAAAAACCACGTTTTCCATCTCCTCTCAGACCATTTCCTGGCCCAGCTGTACACAAAGATTGTGCTCTCTCCAGTCCTCCTCCTCCTCCTCCAGAGGACTGCAAATCCAGGCTGGTGAGAGGCAGGCCATGCAACACACAAGCAGACACTCACCCATCAGCACCTTGCTTATCATTCAGGCCAGTTTCACCACTTTCCAAGCTGGTCTGAATCAGACTGGAGCGAATTAATTATAAAAGCTTCTCCAGGACAAGAAAGTGGGGACAAATTTTAGAAGAGGGTATAAAAAGGGTTTTCCAGATGCCAAGCGATATATCTCTTCCAGAGGAAGAGCTCCACATACGCAAGGCAGAGCACCAGCAATAAACAAGAGCCAGGGAGTGCCTGTGGCCCCACCTGAAACCCCCTCCACCGTGGAGCTGCCACAGCATGGTACCTTTATAATCCCATAAAGCCCTTTTATGCAACCTTTGCTGAGCGAGGTCCTGTAAGGCAACAGTGTCAGCGTTGGATGCTTTCTCAGCTCCTCAAAGACCAAGCTGTTCCTTCCGAAGACATCCTTTGGAACAGGGAGTAGGAAGCTGGATATTTTAATACACATATTATGTTTACCCAATTCATTGTTATGATTACACTCCCAGCCAGTGTAATTGTATTTTGGATTGAGAGGACTGAGCATGGATGAAGGTGTGTTTGTTTACCAGGATCCCAGAGAAAAACTCATTCCACATAGCCCAGAAAGCTTTAGCTCCATGGAAATTAACTCCAGCTTCTATGACAGCAATCTGAAAATAAAGTCAAGCAAATTAATTTTGCTCTTCATTTTATACTTCAAACTGTCCTAATTACTCCTCTGTGCATCTCACCTGACTTCTGCTCTGAGAGGGATAGCTTGTACTGTCCATATTTCAGGAAGAAGTCGGTTCCTCAGTCCCTAACTCAGAGGAACCCTTCCCTGGGATTAAGATCTATAGATATTCCGTAAATACCTGCAATAATCATCAACAGTGGACAAATTGGCTGCATTTAATCTTGGGCATATGTTTAAGTCCTCTTCCTTTGGAGCAAGTTATTATGGCAGAAGAGAAGTTTCCACCATCTGTTTTACTCTTTCCCTGTCCAAATTTTCTCTCCATTTCAACTCCTTACTAGGCAGAAGCCAGGGAACAAGAAGGTCTCTCATCACCAGTTGTAAATCCTGGGACCTATCCGGTTTACCTAAGCACTAGTGGTTGCATTCAGTTGCCTTGGTCATGATCTTGCTGCCCAACTTTGTTAATAGCTTTTTTTTGAGGTTCAGACATCAGCCAGGCTTGAGAGGGATCCCAAACAAAGCCCCTGCACAACTCTATGCAACAGTAGCTGCAAAGTCCAGCTGAGCCTATGTTAACCTAGATTTATTGCCCTCAGAGAGGCAATTTCAGATGGGTCTTATTTTCAGCTAATCTAGGAGGGTGTTTGCCTCATCAGCTCATTCTTTCATGTCCAACCCTGGATCTTGTCTTAATTTAACTAGATGTTTTCCCAAAGAGAATTTGAGGGGGATGAGACAGAAGTAAGGCACTTGCATAGCCATTGAGAGCACCTTCTCATTTTTGAGATGCTTAGCAGTTTCTTTTGCAATTGCCTCCAGAGACACGAGCCAAGGCAGGCTGCTTTCCTGCAAGGAAACGCCTCTGTTGTACCATTCTGGAATGACAGGTCTGCTTGAAATATTGCATTCTTACCCCAGCACTTCCTTCTCTGCCAGGAGATTTATCTTTGGCCTATCTGTACTAACCTCCAGTCAACTCCATTTCCACTTGTTAAATGAATGTTTTCTCTGCAACACTGCTACCCCTTCTAATTCTTTTTTCTTCTCTTTCCACTATTTCTCTTTTAATGAGGACAAAGATTTTTTCTGAAAAAAAAGTTGAAAGCTGACACACTAACCCTCTTCCCGCCACACTTTCTGCATGTGCTGCTCTGTGTCTTTTTAGGCCATGCTCAACTTGCTGCTTTACACTTGCATCTCTGCTCCCCCTGTCATTCTGCATACAGTGCTGCCTTGCTGTCAGCTACCGTTAAACAAAGCAAGCAAACATTCAGAAACTCCAGTTATGAATACTGCCATTCTCATGACAAGTATTTCCCAATTGCAGTTTTGATCCTTATCTTCTCAATAGCATGGTACACATACCCAGAGCTTTTCTCCAGATGTTAACCCATACAAAAATGGGCTATCTCCTTACTGCATATTGCCCAAACCTCAATTGCAGTCTCTGCTTATATAGCAATGAGTAACAGGACTCTGCCACAGAGTCCATTCCAATGCCACATGCTGCCAGCCACAGAAGACATGGGCCACACAACCTCAGAACCTCACCCTGCATGGATGGAAAACAGCCAATCTACACCCTACACACAATCCTTGCAAATAGAGCAAACTTGGAGCATGCATTTCACAGAAGCAAATAGTCAAATCCCCAGTTCTACTTCTGAACAGGGTCAATCATCTCTGGTCTAGGAATTAGGAAAGGTATAAAATCAGCATGGAGAG